CTATATCTGAACGTTCAACTTTATGAAGAAGTTCAGAAAGCTTTCTGTAAAAACCATTTTTCACTTCATCCAGATTACAGTCAGTGGGAGCGTAGGCAGAAACGACGAAAAGGCAACTACGTTTATCTCTATCCTTCCGAGTTCCTACGGAGCCGTTCAGCCGAACAACACATAGACAACTGTTAACGGGGATCCACTCTAATAGTGTTTGTTCTACCCTCTTACTGCGTGCTATGCCTACACTTGCCAGTCCACGAGAACGAGCCATCGGGTCGCCAGAGTCACGGAGGGTGTGTCTCGTCGGCTCTCCGTTTTGGTGAGGTGAGGTCAAGTGAGTGACCGCACTAGGATCCTGTATGGGTGTTTCGGAGACAGCATAAATCAATGGTACGAGATTCTAGGGTTTTAGCCAAGGAGGGCTTCTGGCCGATTTCACACAAGAGACGTAAGTTAAAGGCTCAAACGTGTAGTTTGGAGCGAGGTTTCAGTAGACTTGAGACAGTGTTTCGCGCACTAGAATCGCTGGCCATAGTGACACTTGAGGAGGAAGTTAAAAGTCAAGGTAGGAGGAATAATAGGAATTAAAGAGGGAAATTGATTATGAATACAGTGATCTTGAGTGCTATTAGAGGTATGAGGGCGGTTATCACTTCCCGGTTGCCCAGGCTGTGGAAGAGTTCTAGAGGTACCTGAAATTGAGATTGGGTAGGAGGTGGTCTTAGCGACCTGAGAGCGTGACTGCAGTGCCCAAGGGACAACTGCTTGAGGCCGGTTACACCTAACTTTTTTGTGAGTAATTGTTGTGTTAGCTCCGTACTTGTTGTGACCTTACCACCGGAGACGGAAATCCATGGGATAAGGCAAGTTGTGCATTTTTAGAGTCGACTTTTTCCAACACCACCTTTCTCTGTGGGAAGACAGCATCGCTGTTTTATTGGTTGTCTGAAGGAAACATCTTACCTCTGTACAGTCAGCAGTACGACTGTTGTACAAGTCCTTTTTAATACATCTTCATATTACAGCTCTCGAATTATTAATCTTAGTACATCCGGTGATACTGATGATCCCAGTAGGCCCCAGTGTAAAAACTTGGTTATTGAGTGGAACAGACTTAAGAAAGACGAGCCACCTTGAGAGATCGGTAGGTGTCGATTGAGTAAAGATGTTTGTGAATTGGGTGGTCAGAGAGAGCACCAACCAATTACGAATCTTTACAGTAAAAGTACTCATGAGTCCGTATTGCTACTGACTATGGTAGGGAATGAGGTACCAAACGTAGAACTAAGGTATCGTTATAGGGAACCAATGTCTTATCGGAAGTTTATGAGTCAGTTCGAAATCTACGCGGCTTTGAAGGTGTATGATGATGGACTACTTTCATATCTCATGGATTTTTGTAGCAGGTCTGAGGAGTTATTGAGGGTTGCGTGATGTCGGGACCATCTGAAGACTATTGTCGACACCGCGAAATACCTAGGTGGCTGTTCAAACAGGCTCACAGTGTCTCATGAGATGAACAAAGACTTATTCAATGGAAGAAACGTGGATTATGACAATCCAGGAGCCCTATCAGATTTGCTTATTACAATGGAAAATCGTACTACGGAGTTTAAAAAAAAGAGCTACACAGTAGATTTGAACTCTTTTGGGGACTTTCGAAATGGACCAAGTAAACAGAAAAGCTCACTGATAATGACAGGGGACCTATTTTCTTAGAGGGTAGGGAGTTCATCTCACCACGTGCAAGTTGCTCAAAGCTGTTTTGGTCAGTTAGCAGCCTTTAATAGGTGAATACATAACGCTAGGATGAATTGTTTTACACGATCAATTGAACCTAAATAGATCGAGGCTTATAAATCTCAATACGCCACATATTCGGGAAATAGTAAGGCCGTCAGTTGCTGGCTTTACCCGTGATTGCAGGTAAAAGCAAAGGGGTTTGGCTTTGTTTGTCTTAGACTAGGCCGTGGGTTTGGAGGACATGGATACAAAAACTGTAGTGGGTGCAACCATTGTGAAGGACATCGCCGTTTCTTTTCATATCAAATGTTAATGTAGAGGGTTCGAAGGAGGAGAATATGACTGACAAGTGTCGCTGTCTCATCGAATCACTTCATACAGATGTGAATTTGAGGTTAATATAAGTCTGAAGAACTGGCCACAGTTGGCTAACTTGCCATCGGGTAACTTTGGTAACGGAGAAGTCCTATTACTGGTTGATCGTGATGGGTCAGAGGAACATTGGGTTTTGAAACAGCGGTTTGCAGAGTGAGAAAACTTGGGTGGCCAGTCTTTGGAGCCCACGTTTTATTGGAAGTACGGTATGGGCATCATCTAAAATCATGTCCATCAATCCCAGTAAATGGAAGATCGGCTACATAGAATGTATTATATTGAGTTTGCTAACGTCTCCACATTATTCGCGTTGCTACTTCTCCATTTTCTAGAATTCTTTAGCTACTCTATTGGTCTAATCACGTAATGTGACAAAAATTGAGTCGACGTATTCCAACCAATATCCAGTGGCCGAAAACTGGTGCCACAAATTTATTACTAACAACTTTAGATGGAAAACGAGGTGGGTCAGAAACAGTTAACAATGTAGAAAGCAGGACAGAAGTTGACCTTTTGAGGTTGATACAGTTCGCTAACCGAAGGAAATATATTTTAGAATGGACGGAAACATTACCAAATAGTCTGTAAGTCATGGACAATGAAGGCACAGTACAGATGAAATTTCGATAGAGCAATGAGAAGACGGAGTTTATCTGAAAGATGAAATTACCATAACGCAGTGCTTCTGAAGCAACTCATTTATTAATCCTACCGTTTATGTACTCAGTTTTGAGTTACAATGTGTGTGTGATGACTAATCATATTAACCGATTGCTTAAAGCAAAGTAGATTTAATGGTTTTAAGTAGTCGTCATATCACTAACTAGAAAACACTTGGGATAAAACAATGTACAAACCAACAATAAATATCATGGGAAAAAATAAACAATGCCGAAGTTCACTTCGACAAATGAACAGACAGTAAAAGTAAACACGCAGACAAAATAAAATGATCAATAGAAGAAATGGCAAAAATCGATGTTAATGGTTTAAGTGGTGTTTACCAATATTCGAGTATTCTACTGCTTTTTTAATTACTTTATGCATTAGTTTGTGTAAAAAAGCAATGAAACTGTATTTACCAGTACTTTAAACAAAGACAAGAAGCCCTTATTCGACACTAACAATACTTAAACAATTCACTAGTGACACAACAGCAGAGATAGTGAACCACGTAGCTTAATTCAATCGTCTGACTTATACTGACACAATGGTAAGAACAAGGTGAAAAAATTGGGACAAAACAATCAAGTTGACTACTTCTATTGATTTTGTTAAGATTCTCATTGGTCTTCACAACATTGATTTGCGCACATGACTTTTTTCTTTCACGAAGAAATATCTAGTTTTTTTCTTTTTATATTACGTGCTACATGACGACATGAACATACAACTCTACAAAACACCTGCATACTAAACCTACAATCCTTTTAATGCAAGTTAAAAGTAAAAGTTAATAATATTTACTTGAAATTAATATTGTTTAAATAGTATAATTCAGTATAAATATAGATTATTCATTTTTATGTTAAAAGCTATGATAGCTAAGGCTCCTTTATAATGTAACTGTGTACTAATGATGTAACTCACCAAATACAGACTCGCGTACTTGGCATTAAATCACATTTTATGCGTAGAGGCTATTGATACTAGTGTAGTGAACGAGAACTCAGGTGGTGATAACCGATTTATTGTTTAATGCAAGATCGCAGTGGCTTGGTGAAATAAGAAAAATATACATCAAAACACATCATTTACAAATCTTCTTTGAAATGTTTCTTACAAACTCCATCGTTCGTTCGCTCCTGTTGTTATTTTCATTGCTCTCAGTTTTTTTCTCACCTCATTGTTTTCTTCCTTTTTCAGTGAGAGTTCTACTTCCCATGTTTAATACATATTTATAATATATGTCCGCATAAATAACACACACTCAGTTTCCCGAATCGAAGTAGGTAAAGCAGGACTCGAGCCCTTGGTCTGATATTTAGAAGTCGAACGCCACAGATTCACTAAACTATGGGCCGAAATATACCGTGTGAAAACTAATGACAACAGAATAATTGCCCGAATTGCAGATAAGGCACAATCCAAATGACTTATTAATAAATGTAAATCAAGTGGTGCCCAAGTCCATGGATCACAACGTTAAGTAACGGCGAAAAACCAATGAGTAGGTAAAAATATATTGCGTATATTTATAAAACCACAATGGTTATGTGAACTAAAACAAAATATAAGCTGTGCTAATCACAATACTATTTTCAATTTAGGGAAGTCGAATACATTTTAGTTAATAAATACAATTTAATACTACACATGAATAGATCACTCCTATTGAGTTGAAACCATACATAACCAAAATTTATAAGCAAAAAACGTTAGTGAATGATTCTCAAGGTGAAATTAATTTTTGATACATTCTAACCAAGGACAAAATCGTAAAATGTAGAAAAAAGTAGTGCCTCAATAAATGGCATGAGTTTAAGAACAAGCAATGGGAACTGGATTAAAATTGTAATCACGCAGTAGAGTTATTTCATTTTAGCCAAAACACGCGGTTTATAGATGGAATTCACTACCCTATAACTGAAAGTTGCCTTTCTATGCTACTGGACCACAACAAAATATATTCATAGGTAAGAAACCATCGTATGAAACCCAAGTAAGCAATGAAACGGATAACCCACTTTCTCTTTGAAACAGTCACGAAGATATGTAAAAAAAAGACGCTGCCAGTACGGAATATTCATAAGCATAAAATGAGTCAGTAATTGATTTAAATATATACTAACGATAGCCATAGATGAACATATGTGGAAAGAATGGGGAGGAAATGGAAGAAAACTAAATTTACTAAGGGTGAAAACTACAACTGAACTACTTGCCTTAGCTGCGCATCCAAGTTCACGTTCAAAGTCTTCGTCGATTAACCCATCTGGTGTCATACGACCAGATTCAAACAACTGTTCATCGGACGAAAACTCTATCAAATAGAGAATGTGTACAAAAACGCTATTTAGGAAAGAATTTGTGCTTCCAATAGTACATGTGATCAGTCTTTATATAGTCAAACGATTACTATTGATTATGAATTAATCTAATCCTATGAGGAGAGACAATTACATGTTTGTAGGTTAGATAACAACATTCTACAAAAACGACCCACAATAAGTAAATTTGAATTTCTCTACACGATATATAACATAGTAACAACATACGTAATAATGTACCAAATAAACCCAACTAAATTGTTGAGGTTCAGTGGCACGCAACTAGTTTCTTAAGCCAAGTTAACTGTAGCGGTGTTTAAAACAGCTTACAGTAGCATCTTTAGTGTTGAACCACAATTACAAGGTAAAATGACCAGTTATTCAAGATTCGAACGATACTCTATCCGTCTGTCAACAGTCTCTATTTTTACTCTTCGGCACAATCTGTTCAATATGAAAGCAAAACAACAGTTTGTATATTATTATTGTCTAAAGTATCCACAGAAGGCCACATAAGTTGCACAGACCTCTTCTAAAGGTTACTTCATCTTACAATAATGAAGCATTCTGTTAAACTATCCTTTCCTACTTATTAAAATGGTTGGGGTGCGCTATGTACACTTAATTTTCTTCTAACATGTGTTTTTGTGATGGGCTTTATCATAAGATAAAAGCAATTTTAACCAGCTAGTCACGAATAGTCTAGTTTTCCTTTTTTGTTTCATAAAAGTATACACACACAAAACCCCTTCTGATAATAAAAATATAATGGACAAATTTGGTAGACAGCTGGATCCAACATATAATCTGTATAACATTTTACGATTGCGGTGTTTACATGTAGTATAAATTTAATTAAAAGTTGGAAATTTGTATTTGGTCTAAAATGTCTACCAATAACTTCTCGCGCATAACAGAACAAACGAGTGAGGAATATCTTAAGGTAATAAACAAAGATAGAAAGTCAATAGTTGGAACTATGAATCATCAAATGAGGTGCGTGAGATGTGTTCTGAAGCTTTAACTAGACGCAAAATAGTATTTAAGTATTTGAACGATGACGAAAGCCAACATTCTGGAGATTATAGTCAACAAACTGACTTCACCGTGGTTATCAAAAGAGGAATTCTATCCTCCTTCATAGACTGATGAGGCCAGAAAACGAGAGCACTCAGACAGAATTACGCTACATTCTAGGTCGTAGTTAGTATTAAAATGCTCTAGTGAGGCCGAGAGTGTAGAGCGTCAGCTCTCCATCTCGAAATGCTCTCAAGTGGCCACGTGCATACAACCAGCCAGGGAAGTCCTACTCACTGCCTTCCCGTGGTGGGGGTGTTGTTTACCAAATTGAGAGGATGAAAACCGAATGTCCGGCACTTTACCCGGGTTTGGTGGATAAGGAGGGTCCACTTAGGGTAGTTGGAAAACCCCGATTCCAAACCAATGGTGCACATGAGCTCCAGAATCCTGAGGGAACGAGTGGTATACGAACCAATCATTGGTCACCGGCTACCATGTGACTGCATCTGCTGACGTTGCTCCACTGCCTTGTGGATTAGATCTTTAGGTGGAAGGCTTCGGGTATGGCCTCCTAAGAAAACCACCTGCTTCTGTTTGGGCAACCGTGCAGTATTCCAGACCTCACACAAATCGAATAATTTATGTGGCGCATACGTTTTCGGTGCCCCTTTGTACCAATATTTGTGTTCAAATAAATAAAATGAAGTATAGCAATAACTTATAACCCCGGATGATCATTCTAAAAGACTCCTGGCGGAAACCTACCAGTCCAAATGATTCTATTTCCACTGTTTTGGAGTGTTTAGGGGCCCTAATCCTTGCCCACATTTGGAAAAACAGATTTCGACCTTCTTACCAAACATCCATTTAGTACGATAAAGCCATACAGTTAGTGATAGCCAGTTTCAGATACCATCACGGTTACCTAGTCTGAAAGCGAACGCTTATTTAAACGCATAAACACTGATACAAGGTACCAAATATATACACCACACATGATTCGGTTGGTGTGAAGGCTGTAATATTTATTTATTTATTTGGACACATGAATATTGGTATAAGAGAGCGCCAATATATACGCGCCACACAAAACAATGAAAATTCGAGAGGAATACAAAGAAAGTAAAAAAAGCTAAGGAGCGCAACAAAAAAAGAGAGAACAATAACGAAGAGATTGGTGTAAGGTAATGTGTTGTAATCAGGGAACGCAAAGGTACAATCAGAAGAAATCTTTCAGGTAAGGGAGACAACCACTTTTTATGAAGAAAGTAAAAGAAGGTTACAGCAGGATCGCCACTGGCTTCTATTCTGAGCCATATCTGATAACGTCTCTAGCCACTGTGGAGCACCATCTCTCAGACCCCAACCAGGGAGTCGTGAAGGACCAACACAAGCCAGTCACGCACAACTTTCTTTCATGCCACGACACCATGTCATGCACTGACTACCTCTCAGTTTTTTCCAACTGGTCCTAGAGTGGGCAAATAATTCACGACGTGGAATTCTCTGGGACGACATTCGTAGAACATGTCCAAGCCACAGAAGTCGATGTTTCAAGATAGTGACACCAATTGAATTATCATCTCTGTGCCCGAACACACGATGCCGAACCTCTGCATTACTGACATGGTGTTGCCACTGAATGTCAGCAATCCTTCGGAGACAGCGATGATCGAACACAGAGAGTCGTCTAACGTCCTCAACTCGGAGAGGCCAGGTTTCACAAGCATAGAGCAAAACTGCTCTCACCGACGCGTTGTAGATCCGACCTTTTAAAGCCAGACTAACATCACGAAGGCGCCATAGATGGTCCAGATTGGCATAAGCCGCTCTGACTTTCACTATACGTGCATTGATCTCATCACTCACACCCCCACCAGCACTTATGCAGCTACCCAGATACACGAACTTCTCGGCTACGTATATCTGCTCACCATCCAGGGTGAGTACAGGATTGGAATCCTACCAGTCTTGTAGGAGTACTTTGCACTTCGAAGGTCCAAAGCACATACCATAACTACGGACACTGATTGCCAACTGATTAAGTGCGGATTGCATGCCTTGGGCATTATCGCACAGTAAGACAATATCGTCCGCATACTCAAGGTTGAGAAGTCTTTCTCAAGGCAACAGATCCACACCACCATTACTTACATTCATCAGAGCTTTTTCCAGAATGTCATCGATGGCAAAGTTGAAGAGGAATGGTGAGATTGGGCAACCCTGCCTAACCCCACTACTCGAATGGAACAATGGAGAAAGGTGGTTGTATGCCCTCACTCTGCCTGAGGTGTTTTATATAGGGCTTTTAGGATGTTAATAAACTTCTCAGGCACACTCTTCTTCAATAGACAATCCCAGAGAACAGTTCTGTCCAACGAATCGAAGGCAGCCCTGATGTCAAGAAACACTACGATTGTTGGCCTTTGATAAGTATGGCGGTGTTCTAACATTTGGCGGAGGGTGAAGATATGATCAATACATCCTCGACCAGAACGAAACCCAGCCTGCTCCTTGCGAGTCAATCTTTCTCGGGTTTCGAACAACCTACGAAGTATGACGGAAGCCAATAGCTTGGACGCAATCGGAAGTAAACTTATCCCCCGATAGTTGTTACAGGAACGACGTGAACCCTTTTTAAAGATATGGACAACTATCGACGTTGGCACACTCTCTAGTTCCCAAACCTTTGTAAACAACGTCGTCAATTCCTTAGTCAAAAAGTCACCACCATCTTTAAAAAGAGCCGGAGGTAAGTCATCTGGGACAGGTGATTTGTAACGCTTCAAGAGTTGGAGTTCCTTGCGGACTTCCTCCTCGTTTGGTGGATCAGTCGTCACCGGCCATGGAGGGCAGGACAGTCTGACCGATGTTGCCGGAGCAGCAGGCCAGTTGAACTGCCCTTCGGAAAATTCTGCCCATCGTCCAAGACGTCGATGGATGTTAGTGATCGGCATCCCATCATCCTCGCAGATTGTTTCACTCACACCAGACTTCTTGCTGCCAGTGGCTCGGATGAGCTGGAAGAGCTTCCGGTAATTACCAGATGCAGCTGCTGCTTCCAGCTCATTAGCACGCTTCGACCACCAGGCTTCTCGGTCCTTACGCAAGCTTTGCCCAATTTCCTTGCATAACATCCTTCGTTTATGGTCAAACTCACGGTCAGCCGGAGTAGACCGACGGGCTTCAATGAGTTGTAAGGAACCAGAAGAAACCCAGTGCTTAAAAGCGGGACGTTTCGCAAACCCACAACTGACTGTTCCCGCCATTTTCATGGCGTCATGCAATTGCAACCAATGCTCATCTATACTTTTCGGTGGAGTGGTAGCTAGCATAGAAACTAGCTCGGTTCGATACATACTAGCAACAGAAGTTGCAACCAGCTTGCTAACATCAATCTTTTGGTGGTGGTCACTTCGTTGGTCACTGAAAAGTAAGGCAAGATTGGCGCAGACCAAGGCATGGTCAGAGTCCAGATAGGTACTCCAAAAGGAGCGGCAGTCTTTTACACAACCACGCCAGCGGTAGCTGATCGCGATGTGATCAATCTGAGTCCAGGCTTGGGATGCAGAGGGAGGACGCCAGGTGGCACATCGGCGATGACTGTGCCGAAAGTTAGTGCTAGCCAGAAACAGGTTGTGGTCTGTGCACAGTTGCAGTAGACGGTCCCCGTTATCTGACCTGCGACCAACGAGTCCCCATCGGCCACCTAAACGACTCTCTTCTGTGCCTAGACGCCCGACCTGAGCATTCAAGTCTCCGGCTAGTACTACAATATCTGTCGAACGCACTTTCTGGAGAAGAACAGATAACTGGTGGTAAAACTCATCCTTGATTGCATCCGGGCTGCAATCTGTCGGGGCATAGGTGGAGATGACGAAAAGACATCGTTTCTCACGCCGATTTCTTCTCACTTTGATGGAACTTTCTAATCTAACAACACATAACCGACTGTTAATGGGGATCCAATCGACTAGTGCTGCCTCAGCTCTAGCGCTTAGTGCGACAGTGACTCGAGAACGTTTAGATACAGTCGGATTTCCACCAAAGACGAGCCGCTGTATAAGTATAAAAGAGGGTGAATAATGTGGGAAATAATAATAATAATAATAATAATAATAATAATAATAATAATAACGACAATAATAGTAATAATAATAGTATTAATAATGACAATAATAGTAATGATAATTATTTGAATCGACTGATTGTTTTTCGGAGCGATAAAAGTAGTTGCCAAAGACATAGAGTTCATCGTTTGTGTGTGGGCTGTGATACTGCCCGGGTGCCCAAACCGAAGCAGGTGGTTATCTTAGGGGGCCACTCCCCGAGCCTTTGACCTAAAGGTCTAACCCACAAGGCAGTGGAGCATCGTAAGGAGATGCAATCCCATGGTAGCCGGTGACCAAAGATTGGTTCATACGCCATTTGTTCCCGCAGGATACTGTAGCCCATGTGCACCATTGGTTTGTGATCCGGTTAAAGCGCCGGACATTCGCTTTTCGTCCTCTCATTTTCGTAAACAACACCCCCGCCACGAGAAGGCAATGAGTAGGACTTCCCTGGCAGAGGCTGTATACGCGCGGCCGTGTGAGAGTATTTCGAGAGGGAGAGCGGACTCACCCCACTCTCGGCCGTACCAGGGCATTCGGGGGCTGTAATACTGCCCAGGCGCGCAAACCGAAGCATGATGGCGCATCTTTCCCCAATAGTTTGACTAGCACTTAACTATGTGGTTCACGACCAACAGAAAGACTGGGAAGTGGAGGTACAGAACAAAACCAAAAATAGGTGACAGAATCAGTAATCATAAAAAATCTAAAAAACCACTTGAATTCGAAAGCCTCCAGGAATATGACGAACAAGTTTAAAAAACCTAAACATACCTTTTTCAGCAGCTAGTTCCAACTCAAATTCATCAAACTCCATCTCCGGGATTTCGAACTCGGAACAGGCGGAATGAACAGGCATATTATCATCGTATTTGCTGTTGCGCCTTGACGACTCGCCTACTCTAGACGCCGTCTCTGCATCATTTAAAGCACTCCACGGTGCCTTTTGGGTGGTAAGGCCGTCGTCTGAAATGATATTAGACTTTCTAACTGTATTATGACTATCAGTAGGAACGTTCCGTTTGTTCTCTGGGTGTAACAGACCTTCGCAAACAGTACTCGTCACTGCTGGGTCTGACTCCATTTTATCCCACCTATAAATCGTTTAAAAACAGGAAGAAATCTGAACATAAGAACAGTGTAAAAAGTGAAATCATTTGTGATAAAATTTTATTAAAGACTTTTACAAACAGGAATCTAAACGACGTTTGGCAGCAACTAGTCGGTCAAGAGTCTGGTAGAGGTCAATTGCTTTATCGTAAGTGCATCCTTCATATGGTAATCCCGCGGAAATATGTGATAGGTAGTTGATGTGTGAATTCATTTCCGTCTCTACTTCCTTAACAACTGTTCGGAAGTTATGTGTGCAACTTTCGACTTGTTTTACCGTTGGTTTATCTCTTGAAAGTTCTTCGAGAGCACTACCAGCGTGCTGAATAATTAGGCTTATCTTTCTCTCAACTTCATCGAGCTTGTTAAGGCGTGATTCAAGGGAAGCCTCGGCTTGACTATCTTTAGAAGTGCCTAGCATAACTCAAGTAACCTTGTAGTTTAAACAGACCGGGGTCGTCAGGTTATTACAAATGCATATGGAAGGGCCATTAGAAGAATCCATATACAATATATATCCAATATCTTTGTCACGAGCTTTATGGATTGAACGAATTTTTAGGTTTTTCCCTTATTGTCTTGGTACGGTTTCAGGTCTTTAGTAATCCTCAATAGGTTCAAATGGTTCAAATTGTTGCGGACGGAATAGAAAAAGCTTTCACTTAACAGGACTCCGTGTCTAGTAGCAGGGGATAAAGAATAACTCCAGGCAGGAACCTAGGTATGTTAACGATAAAAGAAGAAAAAGAAATTGGTAAATCATAGTATGATACTATCCTTAGACTTTAAGAATAGATCAAGTTGCCTCATAAAGGACTCCTGGGAAGTCGCTTGGACTAGCTCGGCCGGCAGCGAATTCCTGCATTTGACAACTCTTAAGGGGTAGAAGTTGTGTCTACAGCCCATTCTGTTATGTCGTGTCTCTGATTTCTGGGAGTTACCCCTTAAGTTGGTATTGAGACTAGGCTTAAGTAGGTATTTAAAAAGATTTCCTGAAGTGTTAAGGATACTTTAAGTCATCAGAAGGTCACCTTCAAGACGCCTATACTCTAATGGGCAAACGTTAAGTGATTGGAAGCGCTCTTCATAAGGTTTAAATTTGAGTTCTTGAATTGATTTCATGGCTCGCGGTTGGATACGCTCCAGAGTGTCCTTGCCGTTTTGAAGTGAGGGAGGAAATACTGTTTCCATACTCTAAATGGGGACGGATAAAACTGGCCAAAATGCGCTTTAATGTTACCAGTGCAAGGTCTGCTCGAGAGGCATTTTTGTCACAGTTAGCGTAAGACTTCAAATCGTAGGACTCCTAAATCTTTTTCGACTCATGATGCTACTAGAGTGGAGTTTCTTAAGTTGTAACTGTAGTCTGCGGTATGTCGCAGATGAACTACTTTACAGCTTGAAGTGTTAGAGGTAAGTCCGTTGTCGTCTGCCCAACTTTGAAGTCGAGTCCGATTTTCCTCAAGTGTCTGTATATCGTCTTGGTTGCGTATCTCTCTCCAAAGTTTCATGTCATCAGCAAAAAGTGGTAAGTCTGGCGATACCTGTTGAGGAATATCATTTATATAAATCAAGAAGAGAAGAGGTCCTAGTACTGAACCCTGGGGGACCCCACCAGAACATTCCATAGCCTGAGACAAAGTGAAGTTAACCCTGGCCTAAAAATGTCGATTTTTCAGGTATGAAATGAGCCAATCAATTAGAGGTGGTATGAGCTTATTGATAAGACATCTATAGTTAACCCTATCAAAGGCTCTTGAGAAATCAAGGTAACTGAGATCAACCTTCCCCTTGTAATCCAGGATGCTTGCCCATCTGTCCACCGCAGCCAGCAGGTTAGTTACACAAGAGTAACCCTTGCTGAAACCATACTGTTAGGCTGAAAAGAAGTTTAGGGATAATAAATCGTCGTGTATACCATCGCATATCAGGGACTCCATGATTTTTGAAGGTATAGAGAGAAGAGCCACTGGTCGGTAGCTTGAAGGTTCGCTGCGTCGACCTTTGAAAATTGGTGTGATCTGAGCCAGCTTCCAATTTTCCGGTAGTCTGCCTCGGCTTAGCGAGCGTGAGAACATCACGCTAAGCGGCGTTGCCAGGATTGAGGCTGCTTCCCTCAGCACAGCAGGATGGACCATATCTAGGCCAGGAAAAATGTCTTTTCTTAGGTGCTTCAGTTTCCCGAACACCAAGTCAACGCTCAGGTTCACTACGGAAAGTCATATGCAGTTGCAAATGAAGCTGTCATCAGTATACTTGAAGTGGATCGGTTGCAATGTCCAAGAGTATTGTTCAGCCAAAAGGTTAGCGGCGTCTTGTGAAGTATCAAAATAATTAAGTAACCTACCACAGTGAAGATTGTAACTTTTGTAACAAGACTGACATGCCTCATGTAACAGACTGTTATTTGAGAATAAATCATTATTATTATTATTATTAGTCTTTAATTATATATACATTCCTTCAAATCACACTCAAGACATCTCCTGATGTCTATAGATACTTCGAAAAGTCCAGATCTGTCGCTTAAGAGAGTGGCGGGAAGCTATATAAACACACTGATCAGTCCCCATCGTACTCTGATCTTTTTACAGCTACACTAGACACGCACTATTTACTTGGGCATGACGACTCCCTACACTGAGTCTCGCTTATAAATTTACAATCAACCACAATTCTTTCGAATCGACATCGTGTAGTCCACTCAAAAGTGTCACTTGCTGTGAGCAGTTTTTAGAAAGTGTGGCTGTACCCAACCATCCAACAAACCCACGACCGGACACTCTATAGCGCCTCACAGATTGCAAGTACGTCTGTCTATCACAAACAACCCAGCGACGTAGATCACGACTACTCACCCAGACATATACTGCATTCGTCAACTAAGTATGAACAAGGTGACCACCCTGACAATTTTGATATAAACTCCAATAATCTCATCAGTTGTAGTTCTAAGAGCAGTGAAATACAACTTGGCCTCACCCAAAATATTTAGAACTTATTACCGTAAAAATATTTGATCAGTGTTTCAGGAAATCTTGGTCCCAGAATTATAAAAAAACACAGAAGAAGTATTTGACCATATATCGTCTGAAGTGTTGAAAAGACTACAGTGTATGAAGAATGTTACTGTGTATAATACACCTGATAATGCAAACGTAAATTTTGCCAAAACTACTTTACTTCAAGAATGTGGGTTGTCAAATTCTTAGTCTGTTACAAGAAGATTACGTAAAGCAGAGACTGAAGCCTCTTGTCCCATTCTATTTCAGTTTGGTAGTATCACAGTGTTAGGTTCGTTAACCTTGAGGATACTACTGATTCGACTTATTCGGAACGGAACGAAGGCTCAGGATTTAGAGACTCAATAGACTATTCTGGTCCGTTGTCTTCGACTCAGCTAACCCGATCAAGAAGTCTTGGTAAGGCGTAGAAAGTATATTCTACAAGCAACAGCAGATACCAAGTCAGGCAGGCAGATCAGATCAAGCATACAAGTCAAGCGTATTTATACAATTATTTACAATCGAAATTGTCATAGGAAATTTTTAAACATTAATCAATGAGTTAATTAATTGACCTATTTGCGCATTTAATCGATAGTTCATCAATTGACTGCTATTCAAACATTTAATCGATCAGTTCATCAATTGACCCCAATACAAATATTTAAACGTTTAATCAATAAGTTGATCGATGCGATAAAATTCAAAATATGAGTTTGGGGATCTATCGTCCCCAACACACAGAAACCAATCGCTTTCCTAATAGTTGGCCATTGCTGAGGCCAATTCCAAAATTTAAAAGATTAGAATTGTTCATGATAGGGCTGCTAACCAGCATCGAATCTTCAATGAACTATAAAGTTATCAACCTAATTTATGTAATAGAGGCAGTTACAACGTTGGCTATTGCACAAATTCTAAAACACCATTCTCTACCCCTCCTAAACACGGAAGCACGTCGCATTTTGCTACTGGTCCTAAAAACAAACTACCCTCTGACCACCTTTCCTCAATTAGCCATATTAGTAATAAAATAAAGGAACATAAATATGGAGCCAAAACTCCCACTTCTTCCTCTTCTCATGATAAACCAAACAATTCACTGGGTTTACTCATCGTACGTGACACTAAGGTCAATCAATGCTCAATCTGTACGAAATAAGATGATTCACCCTGTTACTTTGAAACAACTCTTCACTTGTTCTGATAACGGGAAGTTGTTTGTCTTCCTGTGTCACTGAATCATACCTCCAAATAGACACCTATCAGCTCTGCTGTTGTGATCGAGTCTTGTGCATGAATCGAAAAATATGAGAGCGGAAATCCATTGCGATAACATCCTTAGCAAACTACCTGATTTGATATGGCTTACTGTACATACCCATGAATGTATAATACTAATCGGATGCATAAATCGAGCTCCTAATACTCCTAGTTCAACTGACACTATTATCAGTGTGTCATTTGTGAAGGCTGCCTCGCTTTATTTTGCTTACAAAATTATTTGTGGTGATTTCTCATAGTCAACTGGAAGACACATTCTGGCCCATTGTGCTTTGTAAACATACCTAGGTCCTGAGACATCACTGTTGGTAGCATGATGTACACCTGCCTACACGAAATCACAACATTATTGACTTGATATTCTCTCACAATGTCACATCAGCATCGGTGGTAGTTGGCAAAACGTTTCACAACAGCGATCAGAAAATAGTTCTCTGCGTCCTTCCGATTCTTGACAAGTGCAACAAGTCCAAGACAATAAATACGCCTTTTGAAAATAGAGATTTCGCACACGCTGACTGGGAAAACTTCAGATTTCTAATAAAGCATTCTGACTGGAGCAGTTTCTTTATCTGTGATAACCTGTTAGAAACATTGTAAACATTGAATACCACCACCAAATCTGCACTAGACACTAATATTCCCTGTAAATTTGGTCTCAAAACAATTACTCCCTATATCAACCAAAAGAATAGGTCCAAGCCGCGAAAGCCAAAAAAGATGTACTATATATCAAGAGACTCCAGTGCCCTGCACCAGATATACTCTGTGCTTGAAGGAGTGCAGTGTCAATACAACAAACATCAACAAGCAGAGGAACGTACTGCGCTCATTACTGCATCTCAAACCCAAAACGTGTGTCATCTTGAAAAACGCATAAGAATGAATGCAGATCACAACATGCACTCCATACTACAGGACCAAACTGTCATCTGTGAACTCTTAAGTGGATGGTTTTCCCAAAATGGGGATACATTTTGATGTCCCAGATAATAACATGAAGTGGATTAGTAAAAATTATCTTAGTACCATTAACTTTAATCTTAGTAATATACCCGCCGTCATTAGAACCCTCAAGCCGAATTCGAGTTTTGGAACCGAAGACATCTCACCGATTCTTTATAAAATTTTA